CTTTATCATTTTATTTTTCAAGAAGTGGAAGCTGAATCCGTTGGATCACAAACGTCATATTCCACAGAAAATGATTCAACAATCGATGAACAATTACTACAAGATGAATCGACCGAAGACGAAGAATTGACCGAAGACGAAGAATTGACCGATGAAGCAATTGATGCAGCAATTGCCGATATATTGGCTGCCGATATAACAGTACCACCACATGCTCTCACTAATATCAACAACGAACATTCTTATTGCAAAAAACACTATGAATGGTCCACAACAACAGCCGATCAAGGTCAAAATGTCATCAACGTACCAGAAACTCGAAAGCAAACCGCTCGCCGATACATAACAGACACAAAACGGTTATTATCGTTATCATCAAATGACCAATTCCAACATGAATTACCAAGCGTCCAACAAAATTGGACACCGCATTTTATCAAATATTTCAGCGTTTACGTTCTTTCCGATATTGATGAATTAGGTAAGGTGCTAACAATCCAAAACTTCAGCAAAATTTCTTTTTCGTTCTTTACATCATGGTGGGATAGGGCTCATTCAGTTCCAACACATTTTTATACTAAGTTTTCCATCACAAATTCCCAAAAAAAGTTTTGGAATTACCAAAAACACAAAAATCACCGATTTCACTTATTTTTGAACACTTCACTGAATTGACTTACTTTCAAAAAGCTCTTCTTTTGAAATTTTTCACGCAAAAAGTAACGTTCAACACCCTAAAAATAACACCTTCCTATGCGACTCAATGAGCTCCATCCCACCATGCCGAAAAGAAAAAAAAAAAGAAATTCTGCAGAAGTATTGGACTGCCAGCACCACACCATATCACTAAATTTCGGTGAAAGCTTCCTTTATTCCTTTTTGGATGATTTCTCAACCTTTTCCTAGTTCTATGGTCTTTGTCAATGGTCTGTTTTTCGAGTTTGAAGTGTTCTACATTTTTGATGACTTTAGGTGATTATCGATTTGAGAGCGGAGTTCATGAATTTGACCATGGATAATTCCATTTTATCAACACATCTTTTGGATGATTTCTCAACCTTTTCCTAGTTCTATGGTGTTTGTCAATGGTCCAAGTCGACATCGTCCAAAGATAAAAAAAAAGGACTGTGCAATGGTCAAAAACTATACTCAACTCACCCAAATTACAAAAACGACCCATAAACCACACAACACACCACAAACACAATCTTGCTAACTATAACAGAATTTTGAAAACTTCAACAGAATTTTGACAACTTTAACAGAATTTTGATAACTGCAAGAGAATTCTGTCAGAGAAAAACTAGAATTTTGATGAAATAACAGAATTTCATAAATTAAACAGAATTTTGATAACCTCAACAGAATTTTGATGAAATAACAGAATTTTGCCAATTTTAACCGAGTTTTGATAACTTTATCACAGTTTTATCAAAGAAAAACTAGAATTTTGATCAAATAACAGAATTCTGATATCTGTGACAGAAATTTGATAACTTTAACAGAATTTTGAGAACTCTGAAAGAATTTTGTCGCACAAAAGCTAGAATTTTGATGAAATAAGACAATTTTGGCAACTTTAACAGAATTGCGATAACTGTAACAGAATTTTGCCAGAGGAAAACTAGAATTTTAAGCAAATAACAGAATTTTGATAACTTAATAAGTTTAGTTTGGAAAGTTTTGTTAAAGTTGGCAAAATTCTGTTACTGGTTTTTCTCTGAGAAAATTCTGGTCAAGTTATCAAAATACTGGTTTTTCCCTGGCAAAATTCTGTTACAGTTATCAAAATTCTGTTAAAGTTAGCAGAATTCTGTTATTTTCATCAAAATTTTAGTTTTTCTCGGACAAAATTCTGTTGAAATTGGCAAAACTCTGATATTTCATCAAAATTCTTGTTCTTCTCTGACAAAACACTGTTAAAGTTAGCAAAATTGTGTTCAGCAAAATTGTGTTATTTTATAAAAATTTTACTATTTCTCTGACAACATTCTGTTATACTCGTCAAAATTCTGGTATTTTAACAAATTTCTGTTATTTTAGCAAAATTCTGTTATAGTAATCAAAATTCTGTTATTCTATCAGAATTCTGTTATTTTAGTAAAATTATTCTTTTTCTTTGGAAAGGTCTGCTATAGTGATCAAAATTCTGTTATTTTAGCAAGATTCTACCTTTTCTGTGGAAAATTCTGTTATTTTAGCAAAATTCTACTATTTCTCTGACAAGATTCTGTTATACTCATAAAAATTCTGTTATTTTAACAAAATTCTGTTATGTTAGCAAACTTCTTCTTTTTCTGTGGAAAATTCTGTTATTTTAGCAAGATTCTACCTTTTCTCTGCAAAATCCTGTTATAGTAATCAAAATACTGTTACTTTATCAAAATTCTGTTATTTTATCAAAATTCTGTTAGTTTAGCAAAATTCTTTTATATCAGGAAAATTCTGTAATTTTAGCAAAATTCTAGTTTTTCTGTGACAAAATTCTGTAGATGTTATCAGCTTCAGCGAAGTGGTTGCTGGAATTAGGTGTTCAGTAATTTTGCTGCGTTGAGGATAAATTTTCACCATTGCACAGCTATGACATCGTCCAAGGATGAAAAAAAAAATAATCTTTTGGATGATTTCTCAACCTTTTCTTAGTTCTATGGTCTTTGTCAATGGGCTAAGTCGACATCGTCCAAAGATGAAAAAGAGTCTTTTGGATGATTTCGCAACCTTTTGAATTTCAGTTCGTT